TGGGTACTTTACTAAACATGGGGGGGCTGTATCAAGTACTGCTAAGCCCACTGGGAGGAGCACATGTTGCCGAGTTCATCCTCGTGACGTATCAGTGCAGAAGCACATGAAAGTTTAGAATAAAAAGTGAGAAGTGTGTACGTTTCAGGACCTTCAAACATTTCCTCTGGTGCTCTCACACTCAACAAGTAGAGCAAGACAGTACATGAATTCTCACCAACACCACTACTAGATCTTAAGTAAAATGCAAACAACTTAAATGAATCCAACATTTTCAGAGAAGCCAGAAAACCTGTATACACTATAGCATACCTACTAAAATAACCAGAAGTTCTAATTCTGTAGGAGTGTACATGTCTTTCAGAAGTAATACAACATATGTGCATGCATTTACACTTACATCTGATTTTTAGCCGCTTGTCTCTGAGCTTTCCGTTCTTTCCTTTTTTGATCTGGTGGCTTAGCAAAAACAATTTCAATGTTTTCTCCCTCTAAATCTTTGCCATTCATTTCTTCCATTGCCTGAAGGAATTAACCAGACTTTAAATATACTTCTAAGCATATCTGAAGTTATTAATTTTATTCTATCTTTCAGAGCATGCATTTTAAAATTTGTTATCCAGAGCTAAAATAACAATATAAAGCTAAAAAAAAAAATTTAAAATAATCAAACAGCATAGTATTGTGGGTTCCAGAGTTATGCATTTCCTCTTAACTTGGCTCTCAAACCCAGGACTGCATGTATCAGTTTAGAAATCCTCCACTCAAAACTGTAAACAGGCTTCAATCTTTGCAAGTTGTTTCAATTAATGAAGTGACAGAACTGTCCTCTGGAAGTACAGATTTTGCAATAAGGGAATAAATTTCTAATGTCAGTACACATGCAAACACTACTAAAGCTAGAGATCAGTGTATGTTTTTATTCCTTTATTTTACTTGTAATAAATGTAACTTTCCTTTTAAACCAGAAGCCAAAAATTAAGAATTTTAACAGCCTCATTCTGACCACAAAAAAAAAAAAAACAAACAAAAAAACCCCAACAAAAAAAAACCCCAACAAAAAACCACCAACACACACACACACATGTACAATTCACATGGGTCACAGTAATTGCTACAAGTTAAATTCAAGCAGGGGAATCCTAAAGATTCTACCACTTTTAGGGACTCTACATAGCTAAGCCTTGATGGGATACATATCCTACGAGAAGACTCTTTCCATCATCTTCCTAAGCATCTGCTTCATGGCATCTGGATGAGTAAGAAAAACTGAATCCCCGTGTATCCTGCATCCTCCCACAGAAGATAAAAAAATAGATATACTATAGGCAGGAGAGGAATTACAACTTTCCCTTCCTAACGACAGATGACAAGAGAAAAAACACCAAGACCAGGCTAGCAAAATCCAGGAATGACAATTACTCAATCGTTCAGCACCTCTCATCAAAAAGAAAAGGTGCTTATTCCACACCATAAAAAAAGAAGTCATTCTGTTCCTGGAAAATAAAAAGATTACCTAAGTTTTTATCATCTGCCCTACAGAAACTGCTTTAGATTCTACCAGTAATTTGGTGAGAAGACTCATTCAACTGCTGGCACTTCAGTTTCAAATGGTAACACATATGATTATCTTAGCTACTCATCATCAGAATTACTTAGGATAGGTGCATCTAAAACCCACTTTGCAAGCCAGCAACTGCGTCTTCCCAGGAGACACCCAGAGAGGACGAAGTTATCAGTGACAATGTGTTACCATTTCTCCAGAGAGCGCTTTTTCTCAAGTTAAAAGAAGTATACAGCTTCTAAATGTTATGTTTAGTTACTGCTTACACACACACACAGAGTTACAGTCCTCTTCACTTACCTTTACAGCACCATCCCGTTCATCAAAATGAATGAAAGCATAGTCTTTTAGCTTCTTCACTCGCTCTAGCTTTCCAAATTGACTGAAGGCCTTTTCTAGTATCTCCTCTGTTACAGTATTGGCAAGATTGCGTACAAACAAAACTTTTACCTAATAATAATAATAAAAAAAAGACTTAGAAGTATGATCTAATTCCAAAACACAGAATGAAGTTTTGCAAGTCATTACTATTGGCAGTACTGAAAACATCATTACATTTTATATACAGCATTTTATATACATACACATGAATATGCATATCTATATATTCATACACCATGAGTTAGCTCAAGAATTCCCTAATCGAAACATTAAATGTTTTCAAACATGATTACATAAGTATTAGTAACCTTAAAGCCAATCCAATTTGTGTTAATGTTTAAAAGAATCCTAGCAGCAGTAATTTTCAACTCAGAACACTTTCAAACTTGAAAGAAGGCATCAGGATTGGTTACACACAAAATAATTAACTTATCAAAACATTTCATTGTTTAGACAGGTTTTTGCTCAGGTATTTGCAGTACAGTCATCACTATAATATCTAGGTCAGAGGTGACAGGCCTGCAGCTCTCAAGCTGCTTAACTTGTGGCTCCCATGCTATAGCTACACCAAATACCTAGCATTAGGACTGTGCTTGCCTGAGGAGTGCTCAGTGACCTGAATCCACAGCTAGAAGAGAACGCAGACAGAAGGGGATACTAAGGCTGACACTGCCAAGTCACCCTTCGACTTTCTCACAAGTCAGACTGTGTCCTTCCCTTGAAAAACAGACACCTCCAAATAGCTTTGAAAGTCTATTCCCTTCCCCAGCTCTCTAAAGCATGCAATATGGCTCTTAAAGCTACACGAAGACTGCTATGCAGCTTATAAGATCAGAGAAGTTGGTTATCTTTCAACTATTGAGATATGCCCTGTTAACTGCCTGATAGTGACTAAATCATCAATATAAAGTTTCGTCAACCACCCACTGCTTATGATAAAAGAAAATAATAGAGCAGTCTGACAAAGGCTTAATCTAGACTGTTATTTAATATAGCAGGCAACATACACTGGACACCAGGAATCACCTATGTTAGTGACCCATTACTATTCAAAGACTTGTCCTTGATTCTACACTGAGGTTGCACTAAATGACTGTACATTAGCATGTCTGCATGATGTCATCCATGAGTTCTCACAATTTACAAGCCTCTCTGACTTGCTGGGGAGAGTCCCTTCCATACGCTGCCACCATGCCGACAGTCTAGTCACCCCATACTGCCAAAGAATGCTTATGGTCTTACCTTCCTACAATGCAGCTGCACATCAGCTGCAAAGACCTGCAACTTCTATTTGCATCCCCTCTGCCACTAGTGGTTTCAAACTAGCTGATGACAAAAAGTGAACATTATACATGGCAGCACCACCTTCCCACTCCTAACCCTGAAGGTCAACACAAAAAACACAGGGTGTGAAGGAACCAAAGAAAGCATGCTTTGATTTTTGAAGCAGAGCTATAATCTCTACTCCCACCACATACAGGAACTCAATAAACCCAGACACCCTTTTTATAAGAATTACTATGTAATTAAGTTACAAACAAACAGGACAGACTTCCATACATCTTTGTCTCGCTCGCTAGCCAAACTAGGACGGGATGAAGTTTGGAAGACAGCATACTATAGATCAATCTGACCCAGTGTATCAACTCGTCTTTGGCACAGTTATTCTTGCTGATTCTCAGGAGATGGTAAGAGTCATAGCCATCTCCACGAAGAAAGTCGCTTCCTATCCTGCGTTAAGCTTCTCCTACATGCCTTGATAGTAAGAGCAACCTTTATTTCTTGTAACCCGTATGTAATAACCATTATTAGTAAACTCTCCTAATTGCTACCTTAACCTTATTTCATGAAAATTAATTACAGGAAGTTTGTGATGTAATCAATGGTTTTAAAAACCAGTAACTTTCAAACAAATGTTCCTTATTCTTGTACTCTAGGAAAGGATGAAAACTAGAATCTCATGAGGAACCCTAAGTAGCCCTCACTGATAAATCCATGACTGACATAGTGTCAGACATGATTAAAAACCGCAGAAATCATCACTTTTTTGTTACAAGATGCACTAACACAATGTTTTGTAAAGAAGTAAAAAGCAACTAATTTAAATGTTTTCCAGTGTAGACAAATTTAAACACCTTTGGTCATGTTAAAGGTTAAAAGTGCAGCTGAATCAGTCAAAGAAGATGTCAAAGCTAGAAGGCAGGCTAAAGCATAGGTTGAAAGAAGATGAACCCATTTTTACTTCAGTTAACCTACCTAAAGAGGGAAGGGGGGGTGGGGGGGATGGAGAGAGTCCTTTTCATTAAGGCTCATAGATTGTAACACCAAGGAACCATAAATACACACCTAACAAGCAATATACCCAGCAGCAGCTTTTTGTCATAAAGGCAGAACTGACTTGTAAAACTGTTTTGAGATTAGACTACCCCCCAAAACTTCTGGGATCGGCTCCTTTTCCTCCTCTTACCTACACACAAACACTTCAGACTTCATTACCACATTCTCCAAAGGTTACTAGCCCTGTCTCCTGTCCTGTAATCTACCAGGCAGCCACAAGCATAAGACTTTATTCAGCTGCTTAACCTGCCATGCCAGAATGTCCTCTGTAGCCTCACCCATGCTACAGAAACCAAGTAAAACATTAAGAAATTTATCTGCACTACAGATATAAGAGGCATCAAAATAACACTTAGGAGAAATTAAGCTATCAACACAGCTACTGGAAGTTAGAAAAAAACTTCACTTTGTACCAGAAGTCAATTACTTAACCAATTACACTCTGATCTGTCAGTACAAGCACTAATCCCCTGTAGCACATATGTCTAGCTTCAGAATCTAGCTTTATACCTCATCACGCTCAAGGTACTTCATATTTAAGGTAACAGCCCATTTAAATTTTAAGTACTCATCCATACAGTACTCTCCACAACATTTAAGCAAAAGTCTGGAGGTGAAAGAAAAAAAGGCTCAAGTAAACATTTCAGAAATTTAGATCACTAGGTGTCCATGTATTGATGAAATGACACGCTGCTTCTGAGAGGTATTTAGAACAACTCAGTTCACCTTCTGGCTACAAAGTTGGATTTGTCTTGCCCATAGTTTGCTCTTACGGACTTGCTTTTCTAGCAGTCTTGACAAGAAAACTGCCCATCAAATGATTATTCTGATAAAAGCAACCTACTACTCCTACTCACAGTGTTTCCTCCAGAGCTTTCTACCACAGGAATGTGTAAGATGACAAGGGTCAATAGCTCTCCCTTTGCTCCTGATTGATAGTACTCGGAAGCAATGACAGCCAACCTGCAGCTCACATCTGGGAGAGTACTGACTGCAACAGCAGCTTAGCTGCTCTTTCTGGTAGGAAAAAGACAGCAATAAACAACAGAAAGTAAACCTAACAGTGCCAGATGTGGTCAGTTTCTCCAAGTGTACAGGAAGCAGGCAAGAAAGACTGGAGTACAGACTTTCCTTGATGCAAGGATAAACTAAGGGACACAGCCAGCGAGAAAGGTCAGACACCAATGCTTGTCTCAACTTCTGCCTTCAGACACCAGCTAGATGTTCTCTACTTTTTCAGTATGCTCATTCACATTGTCTCCCTTTTCCGTACGTCTTCAACCCAAGCTCCATGCCCTATCTTTGGCATATGGCACTAGAAGTATGAAAGTTGATTTTCTGCACATTTTCCCTACTTAAGTTTCTTCCCTTTTCAATTACAAAACAATACAAGGTATTAACACATTCAAAAAAACTCTGTATTAAATGGGGCAAACCACTATCAAGCTTTAATTTCTTCAGCCTTTCACTCCCCACATCTAGAAACCTACTTAGGAAAGATACCTGATGATTATGTCCCCTATCACTTCCTGCTCATCTGCTCAGTCATGTCAGCAGAAGTTCCTGCTCATTTGTTTTAACAGTTTGCTGGATTAGGTCTCTTCCCTTTTGAGCCAAGAAGCTGAACAGATAGACAGGCTGCCATATTTAGGAAGTGCCACCTTTGACAAATCTTACCTGCAAGACTCTTCCCCACTGCTGACAGACTATGATGCCAGGCAAGAAAAATAAAGTCTGCAGACAGGCTAGTCCAAAAGCTTCTGTAATACCTGTATTACAAAAGCAGCTTTTTCCCTAAAAGGAGCCCCCACCCCAACCGTTTTCCCTTATGGCTCACCAAAGAGGAGATCCCAGCCAAGCTATCTTACTAGGTCCATCAAAGTAGGACTCCAGCAAGTGACGTGTCTCAGATGAGAGTAAAAGCACAGATGAAAAGCAAGCAAAGAGAAAGAGATAAGGATATGGGCTAGCTACGAGTTTCCATTAAACAACTCAGCTACGCAACATAACTGAAAAAAGACAGGGTTGGGCATTATCTGATGGAAAAAAAATTCAGGTAATTCGTTTCTGGCAAAATCTCACACACATAAGAAAACAACTGCTACAGTATACTTCAAAATGTTAACAGTCCAGACTATTCACTGAAATATTCGAAATACAAAATATTACTAGTCTTAGTATTTTAAGGAATTAACCACCCCCAAATTAAAAATATACAGGGTTCCAAATACAAAGTAATTGCCTAACTTCTGAGAAGTAACTCCTAAAGGCAACTCTGAAGATACATTTGTGCATCTTACTGACACGGTCCAATTCTGAAGGGATAAACAAAGTTCCAGGGTTAAAAGAACTAAGGCTTGTTCTGTGATTGTATCTAGATTTCTGTCCCTCCAAATATTAGGCTACAAGACCATTTTAACTTTTTGGAGTCGTCACCACCACTTCCAGACAAGAAACTAAGTACATAACACTATGTGTCATTCGGGCAAGAATTATGTTCAACATCCAGCCTTGGGAGCACAAAACAACATCAGTCAACAGTTTTAAAATTCACATCAATTCTAGGGTGTATTCATATTTTTATCATCTCACCTACAACCTCTCTGTCAAGAAGGCTGAAAGACGCTATTTAAACTTAGGCTAATGTCAGAAGTACTTACTTGGGAACAAGGCACTTTAAATGTATTATGGTTCCTTTATAGCTTTATTACCTTTGCCATGACTTCAGGATCTGGGTCTTCTATAGGGTCAGCCCATTCAACTGTAACAACATTTCCCCAGACTTTCACTTTGCCGCTCATTAACCTACGTCTGGCCTGAGCAGCAGTTTTGTGATCTTCATATTCAAGGAAACAGAAACCCCGGTTCTTTTTCTTGTCATCAGGCTGATGATACAATATGACATCTGTAAGACCCTCTGAAATTAAGCAAAGTGTTTATTTGTTATGGCTTCAATGCATGAATCTGTGTTCTAAAGTAGGGATTATCTTTCTGCTAAGTATGCATCTAATAAGTGGTTCCAAAAAAGCATGAACACTCTAGACTGTTGAGACCATGCACATAATAAAATTTCCCTATGTTCAAGACCAACATTTTCAAAGAGACATTAGACTATCCCAACTCAGGTTCCATTTTCATTAAGTGAAGAAAGCTTAGTAGCTATGGAAGAGTACCTTTCCTCTAACTGAACGGAGAAGAGATAAGGACAGCCAGGAATTGTGCTTTGTCAATTCTCCTCTCAAACCCTTAAGTCACACCACTTACCAGCATGTGTTTTTAACATGGATGTCTAAACAAAGAGATCAAACATGCATGATTTTAAGATATCTAAAAAGTTTCAGTGTTGCTCCAAGGAACCTGAAGTATATCATTCAGTAACAGAGAAAACCATCAAATGTTACCTTTGCCAGTTTATAGGCCATTATCTAAAAGAGATCCTTATCAAATCACTAAGAACACTGAAGCACAGAACTTGTTACATTCTACAACCTGCCTCAGTTTTGCCTTGAGAAGTTTCAAAACATCCATTAGTTTGAAATAATTAAACCATCTATTTCTTTGAATGGCTTTTTTAAACATTACACACTTATTCTCTAGGTAAAACTTGGAATGACACATCTAGTCTAATCACAAATATTTCAACCCTCAGCACAACAACAGTTTAAAAAAAAAAAAGCCCACACACCCCACTAGAGGTCAGGACAAATGCTGAGTGGTCTTCATTTGGATTAATCATCATTCAGCCATAAGCCAGAGTTCATCACTCATTACATTTGACATCTCTCCAGCTCTACAAAACATAGTTACTGACTTACCTGTTACCTTGCTAAATTCTTCAACAATTTGCTCCTTGGTTTTACTCTTAGGAATAGAACCAACAAAAAGCCTATTATTGGCAACAGAGATGCATACACCAATGTGTTTTCCAGAACGTATTTCATGGTTGTTGTACTGAAAGAAAAATAATTGGACCATCATCAGTTACAGATAATTTTCACTTTCCAAGAGCAGCATACCAAACATTTTACTTTTGCAAACATAGCATTTAGTAATATATTAAATTCTTTGCAGCTTAACACATTCTTATGATGCATATTCAACTGTTCTGAAGCATAGCCATGTTCTCTAAGGTATCTCCACAATTTCAGCCAACAATTATTTTTCCTTCTTTCTTAATACACGTTTCTTTAGAGATTTTTTTTCATGTAGAACCATGAAAGGTAAATCTTATGTCTAAGTCATCAAGGTCAAGGTTTCTCCCTTTACAACAATACAGAAAAAAAATCCAATGATTTTGAATTCTTGAATTGTGTATAATACAAGACAGGAGTTATAACTAAGTCAGATTCCCTTCTACAGTTCCATAGTTAACAAAGAGAGCCATGATCAGGTCTTCTCCAAAAAACGTGCAAGGGCAATTGGCAAATACTTTCCAAAGCACACAGATTACCCATGTAAAGATAGTAAACAGCAAGAACAACCTTCTACTGACTTGAAATCCTAAGACTTGTGTTCAAATGCTTCTCCCATAACAGACTGTTTAGAAGACACCCTGAACAAGTCAGCAGTTTAAGGAAAAAAAGAAAGTATTACTGTAGACATCTGTTGACAAAAAATGCCTTTCATTGAGATGCAGACACAGACATGCATCATCCAAATAAGCAGCAGGGAGGTCAACTGGTGGTACATCAACCCCTTTCCAACTGGAAGCCCTGTAACAGACAGTTCTTTAGCTAGGAAAATGTATTTTGTGGTCAACATCTTATTGACAAGTAGTAGGCTAGCTTTTTAAAATTTAATCTAGCTATTTATTGTACGAGGTCTTTTGTGTTAGGTGGTAAACCTTCCTGCATAAGCAGGTTCTCCCACACCCCTTCTTGCTTTGTACACTAAAATCAGGGTGAAGATGTTTACATATTTATCTCGTGCAAACAAAAATTACATCACTGAAAATCTTCAAAGCTAGATGACTGCACCAAAAGTGAGCTAAAAGGAGAACCGTATATGTGAAAAGGATCTGGAGTAGCATCTTCCCAACTAATTATATCTCAAAACATAGTAGGATACAGTAAAAGACTTCTATCTCCAGATCTGTTGCCCATGTGGCAGAGGAATAGTTGATTTTAAAGTAGGAAACAGCTGCATAGGAAGACTGCATATGTATATTATCATCACCACTAACAGAGACTTACACACATCAATGAAAAGACAGATTACAGTAGCTCAAAAAATACTTTAAAGAAACACCTTTAAAAAAAGCTGACAGTTTATTAGTCTGGAAACAAGACACAAACTGATTCTTCATTAACTGAAGTGTACATTAGGAAATGTTTCTTTACATTAGGAAGTATTTTTTTACTGAGAGAGTGGCCAAACACCAGAACAGGCTTCCTAGAGAGGTGGTCAATGCCCCATGCTAGTCAGTGTTTAAAAGAGGCATTTGGACAATGTCCTTAATAATAATGCTTTAACTCTTGGTCAGCCCTGACATGTTCAGGCAGTTGGACTAGATGATTGTTGTAGGTCCCTTCCAACTGAAATAGTCTACTCTATATGGATAACAGAAGGTATCATCCAACTGTTCCTGTTAAAGTCCAAGACCCAAGTTTGGCTACACATTTAATCCAAAAAGAGCCTGTCATACAACTCATGGCAACAAAATAATAACTTAAAAAAATTTAAGATACTCTATCATATTGCAATTCCATATTGACAGCAGTTTCTAGTAGTTTTTTCATACTACAATACATTAACTACTACTTTACACTGTATGTTTCTCATAACACAGAGAAACAGTCTTGATTAGGTACCTGTGAATATGAAGTCGGCAGGGTTTAGGTAAATAGTTTGCATGCCATCTGTAAACTTAGATTAGATGTGAACAGGCCCAAATCATGATCCAGGTGAGGCACCAAAACAGTCAGGCTACCAAATTAGCTATGTCAGCACACTGCTTCCCTCTCCTGTCACCACTGAATCAATGCCCAAAGTTAGTAACAGAGATATTACTACCCTCTAGACACTATAATAGACAGACTTTTTTTTTTTTTTTTTGGCTAAGTTCTCTAAGAACCTACTCACAAACAGGTCAAAGTATGCGTAAGGTCTGTCTTCTCATTTTAACCACTTAAACTTTCACCAGCAATTCTAGTTTATTTCCAGCAGTAAATGGCAAGTTGTACTGCTATGCATAGCTGCCAAACTGCTTAAGGGACATATTTGCATAACTCACCTGTACCTGCACTTTGATCAAGCTTACACTTGCTCTACTCAAAAATAGACCGTATGCTACTACAGTTTTCAGTATGTTTTCCTACAAGCTTCACCTCAAAACTATTTACCCTGTACATGTCTACAGTAACCTTAATCACTTAGATTTCAGTTTTTCAAAAGTTTTCCAACAACTTCATATGAAATAGGAGGGAGAATTGAACATGTGTGCAGAAGAACACAACTAGAGTTATAATTCTTAACCAGTATAAAACAGAAGATAAACACAAACATGTTAACAGTGAAAAAAATGGCTGGGGTTAAAAAAAAAAATAAAATCAGACTTCTGATAGTCAGTGCTTGTGTGAACATTTGAGATGCCATTTCTAGTTAAGCAGTGAGGGTTAACCACACTGGATTAAGTACCAGACATGAAATTAACTACTGTTCATATCTGTTTCCCTTCTCAGTATGAGGCCATAGCATCACTCCATTTGTGTCTCAAGCACAGCCCTGGAGATATTTCAAACACAATTTAAGGAATTTTCCCCTTTTCTAGGTGGCTTAAAAATGCATATGCATAAACAAAATCAAGGCTTCAACCTTTTAAACAGCAAGATTTCTTCTGTTAATGAATAGGGTAAGTCAACATTAAGTTTATCCAAAAATTTTAGTTCATTTTTACATTAAGCTGTTATAAAGACTGTGGATAACAGCCACACAAATAGGAATTATATGCAAAATATGTTACACCAACTGCAAGAGCCTGAAGAGAGATCTCTTTATTCTCTGCTGCAGTTTGGGTATTGACAAAACCTCATACCTGTCTCTTATTACTCAGAAGCCTATAGACAATGCAGAGATTTTTATTCTCATTTTTGCTATACTTCAGAGAGTCCTGAAGGCGGGGGGGGGGGGGGAAGGAACCCTCTGGGAAGATGATGGAAAATAACAAAAGAAGCCCTATCCCAGGGAGTCCAGAGAGCTAGGAAGTTGTATACACATCAGAAGATTATAGGTAGTATCAAAAAGAACACTACCTGTTAAAATACTAGGATATTAAAATGACTAGGACCAAGGGTTCAGCATTTCTAACAGGCCTGTCAGCAGCCTCTCCCATGCGTGTGTAACTAACACAAGTGACAGACCCATGATTTTCAGCTGAGCTCTACAGCCATATTTTGCTAGTATCCCTGCAAATCAGTCCTAGACAACTTGGGAAACTTATAATACACCAAACTAGCCAGCCAACTATAGTTGGAACCATTCAAAAGCTGACATATGCCTCAAGATCCAATTTAAAACTAACCCTGCCCTCAAAGATGTTAGCATGAAGGCTGAAAAACTGCCCTATCAATCACAACACCTTTGAACTATTACAGTCAGTGGCTATTTAGCTGAAAAAGAGAACACAACACTTTGTTTTCCTGCATATCAAAGGTCAGATATAAAGGGACACTAAGTACCTCCTTCCCTTGTACCATTCAGTGGAAGACCGAAGCTAGGATCTGATGTTACTTTTATGGAAACACAACCTGAATGACTTTTCAGAGTGTGCTGCCTTTAAGCCAAATCCAGCTAAGTGAAGAAAAATTCCTTTTTGTTCGTTTACTAGGTGCCTCTAAGAACGTCTTTGATTTGATTCACTGTTTTGCTAAGCCATGTGCATAACTCTTAAAAGAGTTCACACACAATATAAATAGCTAGGTTGACAATGAAAGTACAGAGAGGTATATGCAGTTATCCTCAGTATATTTGGATTGCACACAGGAACACCAACCGTTCTTATTTAAAAAGCTGAAGAGCACATACAAGGTATTTCTGTGCTTCCACTTTTGTAGACATTTCTGTACTTTTTCAAAACACATTCCCATCTTCAGCTTGATTTGTCTCCACCAACTGACTTACATTATTAATATGTCAACAGGGTACCTTAATGGTTTAAGATGCACCTTATTACAAAACAAGAGATTTTAACCTTGCTATATTCATAAAGCATCAGTATGCCTCGGAACAAGTACGGTTAGCACTCTTGAGGGTCATACCACACACTGATCTTGGCCACATCAAAGCAGTAACTAGCTAAAAAAATTCAAATTCAACTTAACTAGAAAAAATAAAGAGGCAGCGCAAGGATCAGGGCCATGTTTCTGTTTCCGCTCTTTTTTTAGTGATGGATACTTCATACATAAAACATGGAAAGCTTAAGAGTGGCCTATTCCTTACATCAAACTATTTCACACCCCTGTGTAAAACAGAGATGTTTTTTAACCTGGCAGGATTTGTCATTTTTCCCAGCCAGCTGCAGCAAACAGAACAGACCTTAACACTCAAGAGTGATTATTTCCCATCTGAAGTATCTTATGAAACTCTGTGACTTGAGAAGCGGCTTTCCAGCACGGGGCCCCCTGCCGGTGCACAAGCACGTCAGAAATCACAGCCAACCCGACCAACGCTTCCTCTGCGCCACAGCAACCCAAACACCACCTCTCTCCAAAACTCAACCCAGATGCAGACAGCTCAGAAGTCACTACTGCTAATACAACTTTTGTTAGTAATAAAGGTTCATGTAACTGGACAAAACATCAGTCCGCTGGCTTCCCCCCCCCCCAACACGGCCAGTAAAAATTTATACATAAATGTGGAAATATTTTAAATCATCTAGTGGATATTTATGAAACGATCTAACAATGACAGTTTCATCTTAAGCATTTAAGCATCAGGACAACTGCTTGTAAGCCAGAGTGTTCTTAAAAGGGAAAAAAAAAATCCACGTAAGAAAACTTACCAGTTTAACAGCTTCCTGAGCTGCCTCTTTAGTACAAAAAGTGACAAAAGCATATCCCCTATTTAGACCGGTTAGTGGATCCATCATTAGGCGGAGATCCCATATAGGGCCAGCTTTCTCAAATAATGGAACAAGTTCATCTTCAAACAAGTCTCTTGGAATCTTGCCCACAAATATCTACAACAGACAGAGAGTGTTGTTTATAAAAGAATACTTCCAATGAATAAGAATACATCTGCATAAACATCTCCTTCTCCTTACCTCTGTACCAACAGAAGGTTGTTGTCCTGAATATACAGACTCTGGAGGAGGTCCACCATACTTTCTCTGTCCAGTAGTCACATCAAGAGTGTAGCCAGTTCTCTCCAAGAGTGCCTTCAAATAAGAAACTTGAAAGTTTAAAATCATATACAAATTGAGCTAGTTTAGATGCACTTCATTCACAGGCATACCTATAATTCCTCTTAAACTGTACTGCTTTGAAACTCCCACAGGTGAACAAGCCTACTGCTAGTACTTCAACAAGAAACTTGCAAAACAATTATTAGAACTGTCAGGTAAAGAAACACTGCTAGAAAATTAGAGATTCACATAGAGTTTTCCCAATTCCTTCATTTTCATACCAAAAAAAAAAAAAAGGCAAGTAATAGAATAGCAAGCTTCCCTTTAATTAGAAAGATCTTAGTCTGAGCCACTTCTTGTTTTGGCACGTCCAATCCTGCAAACATTTATGCACAGGAGTTCCCTTCACTTAATGAGATTACTCATAAGTGTGAAGTTAAAGAACACATGTTTAAGTGCTTACACCCTTGGAACACTATACTGACTGCTTCAGGTATCCCACCACTGAAGTGGTAGTACTACTTTCTTTCTCCTATCCTCTCCCCCCGCTCACCCCAATTCCTTGTGGGCACATAACAGCATCCCAGCACAACTGATCCTCACTAGGATCACTGCATACAGTTACAGATATACTACCAATTTAAAATGTTAGATGAAATCCAGTATGCAAATACATGATGAGAAACTCCTCTGAAATTAGTCTCTCTCAATAATTTTGTACAAAGACAAATCAATTCTACACACAAAGGAACAGCATACTAAACAAGCCTAATTATCATCAAGGAGTTAGTAATTTCACAACTGGAAAATTGCAAACTTAGTTTAAATGCTATAGCCATCAGCAGTAAAAGCTATGCTGCTTTAAGTTAGTTAACTAAGTCTTCATTTTGTTGTCGTTTTATGTGTATCACTTTTTTTTTAAATTTATAATTAATGGTACCCCAGCCTCAAAGTCAGGAGAAAGATTTTTCTGGTTTTGCAAGCTACATAGTTATTTGGAAAATACAACACATTCATTTTGCAGTTTACACATGAAAAGCTAAAGATGAAAGATTCTCTCGCTTTTTAAGACATCAACTAAGCATGCTTAGATGGTTTTCCTCTCCTTAACCTTTGATAAAGTTGCTCATCATAGAATTTTAAAATAAATCACTGTATGCTAAACTCTCAAGACAGGAGCCTTTTGCTAGCAAAAGACTCAGTCCAAGAAATAACGTATCCATTACTAAGACAGTTTGGGGTGCAGTTTATGAGAACAGTGATTATATCCTAAGAAGTGGGCTAAATCCCAAATCCATTACAATCTGTCTTTTCAGACACGTGGTATCTCCTATTATGGAGCTGCTTTAAACATGAACTGAAGGGGGGGGGGGGGGGG